GTGACCCATACTGCTAGTCCATAGCAGTGACTCCCAGATTAAAAATGTTTGGGAACTGACATAAGATTGCCAAGTCTTCATTTTGCCAGAAAAATTTAAAAGCAGCAATAATGATTTTTTAAAAAGAAGAGCATAAACATTAAAAGAAATATGAAAGTTTTTATTGGATCACATTAAGGGCTATCCATGGAACAATTGGAGAAATTTGAATAGATTGAGTATTGAATAATTATACTGTGGTGATGGAAGAGATTGCTCTTGTTCTTTGGAGATTACGGGTGGAGGATTTAGGGGTGAAATATAAGGATGTCTGCAGCTAATTCCCTTGTGGCTCAGGGGGGGAAAGTATTACATAAATAAATATAGATATATAGATGTCTATATATGGAGGAAGCAAATGTGTCAATGTTAACAGCTAGTGAATCTAAGTGAATTTTATAGGAGTGCTCATTGTATTATTCTTGCATTGTAAAAAATCTTCTGAAAACAAACATGTTGGTGCAACTCAATGGTGAGAATAAAGAGATAAATTCTGTTTTCATACGGTTGATCTGTATTCCAATAAGTTTTTCTTTCTCTTTAAACAGGTTCCACTCCAATTTGTGAAGATATTGGTAAGACAGATGTTATGCTGTACTAGAAGAATTCCCATCCCCGAGCTTGAAGCAAGAGTTGATGTAAGCAGTTTCTGAAAGTTTGAGAGCTTTTTAAAATAAAAGTCGAGAGGAAAACAAGATGTCAAGAGAGCGGTTACTCCGTTGCTGAACAGAACATGAGACATCTTGTACAGGCCGTGCTGGTGCTCCCGTTCTTGATATGGGATGTTGGTTACATAATAAAAGTCGAGAGGAAACAAGATGTCAAGAGAGCGGTTACTCCGTTGCTGAACAGAACATGAGACATCTTGTACAGCCCGTGCTGGTGCTCCTGTTCTTCATGTGGGATGTTGGTTACATGGTGTTGTGGTGGGTCGAATTGTACCCCCACCGAAAAAAAAAAAAAAAAAAGATATATCCACCCAGAATCTATGAATGTGACTTTATTTGGAAAAAGGGTCTTTGCAGCTGCAATTAAGAATGTTGAGATGAGATCATTCTGGATTAGGGCGGGCCTTAAATCCAAAGACTGGTGTCCTTTTAAGAGAAGGTAGAGGGAGATCTGAGACCCAGAGACGCAAAGAGAAGGCTGTGTGGAGATGGAGGCAGAGATATTGGAGTGATGCTGCCACAAGCCAAGGAATTCTGGAACCACCAATAGCTAGAAGAGTCGAGGAAGGATTCTCCCCTAGAGCTTTAAGGGTTGCATGACACCTTGATCTTAGACTTCTGGTGTCCAAAACAAAGAGAATAAATTTCTGTTGTTTTAGGCCACCAGATTTGTGGAAATGTTACAGCAGCACTAGGACATTTATGCAGGGTGTTTACTTAGTGGAAATTCATCAAGCTGTACACTTATGATTTGTGCATAGTTACCTATGTATATTATACTCCTTAAAAATGTACTTTAAAATAAATAAACCAGAATGGCTATCGACTATCGGCATTCATTTATTTAAAAAAAATTTTTTTTTAAAGGTTTAGTAAGGACATAAGGTCAAAATCAAAGATAGGCCCTTAAAATGAAATTTCACTTTATGGTACTCTTCATTTTGCTAAGAATCTGCGAACATCCCATCAAAGATAAGCACCAGCTGCAAATCGGCTGCATCAGAATCACCTGGGGAGTTTTAAAAAATACAGAATCCCAGACAGACAGGTCACCAGGACAAGATAAGGAGTCCAGAAATAGACCCGAATACAAGTGGGAACTTAGTATCTGCTAAAAGTGGCATTTCAAATTAGTGGAGGAAGACAGAGTATTCGATACGCTGTTGGTTCAACTGACTAGCCACTCGGAAAAAAATAAAGCTGTCTCTCTATTTCATCCACTCACCAAAATAAATTCCAGATGGATGAAAATGTTCATTAAAAAAAAACCACACACACACACACACACACACACACACACACACACACACACACACAGGGCTACAAGAGAATGTAAGCATTTTCCTTTTATAATCTCGAAGTAGGACTTGCCTTTAACAAACATTCACTGAATACTTATTCTCTAACTTTGTGTTTGGTGCTAGAGATGGGGACAAGCAGGGGTCCTTCCCCTCCAGGAACTCAAACCAGTGAGGGTGGTCTACAACAGCGGTTCCCAGGTTTTAAGATTTCACTAACCATTAAGAATCACTTTTAAATTCTTTGCCTTTTAATAATCTTACATTGGGGCAAGTATGTCTATGTGTACAATACAAAATTGCAAAGCTGTTATAGAAAAAGTTTAGTACACTTTACTACATAAAAACAAATTACCAAAGAACCAAACCAAACCAAACAAAAACAAATGGCCTCGATGGGAGGGAGAGATAAAGATAGATTGCTTAAGGAGTGTGAGATTTCCTTTTGGGGTGATAAAAATGTTTTGGAACTAGATAGAGGTGGTGGTTGCACAACATTATGAATGTACTAAAAATACTACTGAATTATATACTTTAAAATGATGAATTTTATGTTATGTGAATTTCACTTCAATTTAAAAAAGTAGGAATACAAAATTTAAAGTCAATTAAAACAAAAACCCAAATGCCTTACTGGGAAAAATTTGCAACACAAGAGGGAGACAAGAATTCATTTCCCTAATATACAAAGAGTTCTGACAAATCAACAAGACAACGATAAATGATCCGGTGTTGGTGAGGGCATGGAGCAAGAGACAACCTCGTATATCATTGGTGAGAACGTAAATTGCTATGAGGTTTTGGGACTATAATTTGGAAATAATTTGAATGTACATAGTTTTTGACCCAGCAATTTCACTGCTGAGATTTTCTTCTTACAAATATTGTTACACAAGTACTCTTGCAACCCAAGCAAACATAATATAGGTTCAAAGGTAGTTTTTGCATGTTATAATAGTAAACAAACAACCTGTGTGCCCATCAGTAGGGAACTGGTTAAATATGGTACATCTTCTGGGTAGTGGATCCTACCCAATCATTAAAAAGATATATCTATATGTGCTTATGGAAAACTGTCTGAGGCAAGAACTATTAACGGTGTGTTTGGGGGATGAGGGAACAATATCCACAACACTTAGTATTATACAGCTTATGGAAAACTGTCTGAGGCAAGAACTATTAATAGTGTGTTTGGGGGATGAGGGAACTTAGTATTATATATCCAGTGTGTGCAGATTCTTTAAACATTTCTAGGGGTACACAAGGAGCCACTAACAGTGGTTACCTCTAGGAAGTCGCACTGAGATTAGGGGACAAAGAGAGATTTTTACCTAAACTTCATACCTTTTTGTACTTCTTGAATATTTTTTAACCATGAATATATATTACTTTTTTCTATATTATTTTTAAGGTTAATTTTTAAATTATGAAATAGCTTAGGCATAGGAAATGTGTAGATAATGAAACAAACTCAAGTTCCCATCACCTAGATTAAATAATCTAATACAACAGACACAATATGAAGACCCCTGTGTACCCTTCTATGACCTCACTCCCTTCCCCGTTCCCTAGACATCATTCCAAATTTGGTGTTATCAGACATGCATGTTTTTATTCCATGTATTTTTTAAAATCTATAATTTCTATATCTATCAACAAACAACATGTTGTTTTGCATATTTTATCTTTTACATAAATAGGGTTCATCTATACAGTATAGTACTTAGACCCAGGCAAGTCAGGTCTTGGCCCCTAAGCTTTAGAGAGGTCTCTTTCTGGCCCTTCTCTGTCTGTGCCCCTCTTCATGGGGCAAGGAATCTGAGGGGACATGCACACCTGGAGCCTGGAGCCTCAGGGTACCCAGGACCCCAGAACTCTTGGCCCAAACAGCCTCCAGCGCTACGCAGCATCTATGCAGTACTTTCCAGAATCCATATTTCTAAGGGTGAGCCTTCTACCTAAGTGTATTGTTGCCTTGGACGTCCCTCTCCCCTCCCCCATACACACACATTAAATTCTACATATTTGGCAACTTGCTTTTCCACTCAACATTACATTTTTTAGCATTATCTATATTAATATTTATAGCTCCAGTTTACTGATTTTCACTCCCATATAGCATGTCTTCAAAGTTTTAAAAATTTCAGATCCCTGGGCCCTCACCCAGAAGATTCTGATGTGGGAGGAGGGGCCAGAGGGGCTGAAACATCTGCGTATTTTTGAAGCTCTGCATGATGCATCTCGGCAGCCATGTTTGAGAACCAGGGAGACAAA